AGGGAGCCCGATGCGGGACTCGATCCCGGGACTCCAGGATCATGACCTGAGCCGAAGGCAGTCGCTTAACCAACTGAGCCACCCAGGCGCCCATGCATATATATTTTAGATATGCATATTTTCTCCCATTATGTGGCTTACCTTTTTGTTTTGCTCCAGGTGTCTTTCAGAGAGTAAAAGTTTTAAATTTGGATAAAGTCCAATGTAACTTTTTTTTCATTTGTGTCTTGTGTTTTTAGTGTGTTTCCAAAGAATTCTTTGCCTACATCAAGCTCACAAAGATTTTTCTCCTATATTTCCTTTGGTAAATGTTATGATTTTGTTTTTTACATTTACATCAATAATCTATTTCTTGTTACTATTTTGGTATACTATAAAGTAAGGTTCGATATTTGTTTTTCCTCATACATTTATCCAGTTGCCCAGCAACAACTTTACGAAAGTTTTTCTTTTTCCACTGTGTTGCTCTGGAGCATTTGTTGAAAATCAATTCACTATACATACATATATATATATATATATATATATATATATATGTATGTATATATGGATCCATCTCTAGACTCTCTATTCTGTTCTGTTGTTCTTTATGTCTATACTTTTGCCAATACCATACATAAGATCGTGTATGTCCACTAAATTTGTTCTCTTTTTTAAATTGTTTTGAGTATTCTCGGTTGTTTAGAATCATCTGATCAGTTTATATTTTAAAAGTGTCTTTGGGAAATTCCTGTTGGAATTGTATTGAAAAAATATATATATATAAATTTAGAGAAAGTTCCATTTTAATAATACTGAGAATTCAAATGCATGAATGTGGTATATCTGTTCGTTTATTAGGCCTTTTTAATTTCTCTCAGTGATGTTCAGTGCTTTTAAGTAAAGAGATCTTGTTCATCTTTGTTAAAATTATCACTAAGTATTGTTTGCTATTAGTACACAAAAGTTTGGTTTTTGCATATTAACCCTTGATCCTCTGACCTTATAAAATTCATTCATTGTGTCTAGTACTTGTTTTTTAAATTCTCTGGTCCTATAAAACTAAACAATTCATCTGCTAAGAGAAATAGTTTTATTCTTTCTTTGTGAACTTTATAACTTTTATTACGTTTCTTGCTTTACTACAATAGCCAAAACGGCCAGTACAATATCGAATAGAAGTCATGAGAGTACATGCTGGTCTTGTTTCCACTCATAGGGAACAGTGTTCACAAGGGTGTTGACTGTAAGTTTTTTTGTAGATGTCATATATCAATTTGAGAAAGTACCCTTTTATTTCTAGTTTCTGAGAGTTTTTATTAGAAATTGGCAATTCAACACATATTATATCAAGTACTTTTAATGCATCTCTCCAAATAATATGTTGGTCTTTCTTATTCTATTATCCTGGTGAACTGCAATGACATTTTTAAATTTTAAAACCAAGCTTTCATTCCTAGGATAAACTCTACTGGATCCAAAATATTTTCCTTTTTGTATCTTCTTGGCTTTGATTTACTAATATTTTATAAAAGATTTTTTTCATCTATGTTTATAAGGAATATTAGTCTGTAATGGTTTAATTTTTGTAATGTCTCATCAGGTTTCAATATTTGGATTATGTTGGCCTTATAAAATGAGATGGGAAATGTTCCCTCTTTACTATCCTTCTATTTGCTGAAAGATTTTGCGTAAGATTGGTTTTAGTTCCTCCTTAAATTGTGATAGAATCCACAGTGAAATGATCTGAAATTTTGTGGGTGAGAAGATCTTTTGATTTAAAAAATTCACTTTTAGGGGCACCTGGGTGGCTCAGGTCATGATCTCAGGGTCATGAGATTGAGCCTCGAGTTGGGCTCCGCGCTGGGCATGGAGGTGCCTAAGATTCTCTCTGTCCCTCTCCCTCTGCCCCTCCCCACCCTGTGCTCTCTCTCTCTGTC